TAAATCTGGCTTCAGACACTAACTGTGTGACTCTGAACAAATCAGTTAACCTCTGTTTGCTTCAGTTTCTTCATCTGTAAAATGAGGATAATAATAGCACCTACCTCCCAGGGTTGTTGTGAGGATCAAAAGAGATAATAATTGTAAAGTGCTTAGCAGAAAGCCTGGCACATAGTAAGCACTATATAAATGTCACATTATTACTGTTGTTGTTGTTTGTTATTGTTATCATAGCTGACTTTCACACAGTCTACTATTTTATGCCTAGGTTTTAATACGTCAAAGAATCTATGATCTCATTGATGTGAAACATAATTTCCCATTCATACTTTTTCATCCTGTACAACTTGTTCATGTTTGACATAAATCCACCATAGGGAGTCCATTCAAGTTGTTAGGGAGGGGCCTATATAAAAATATAAATCAGGATTACAAAATAGACTGTTTCATCAGATAGATCCATTTAGCTACCTGGACAATTTGCATTCATTTCCAAAGAAATACTAACCCTCCGCCTTAAAAAACACACACACACACATATCTGAACAGTATACTTACTGAGGTATTAAGAAAGAATTTTGAAAAAATTATTGAATTTAAACTATGTATTATATTTATGAACATAATTGTAGGATTTCAGAGAGATTTTTATGAGTCTGCTTACTTCCACTTGTCTAAAGCAGATTCAATTTGATAGAAATGCAAACACTTATAAGAAGAAAAAAGATATGCTTCATTAAAACCAAATGAATTGTAGAGAAGAAGTATGGTATTTCTTGCTTTTCCAAATAGAGTATGAGGGCAAGGAAGAAGTAACAGAAAGAACTATACAAAAATGTTTCTTGCTGCTCATCTGTTTTTCTAATACATGTAAACTTTTAAGCTTAATTCACTCCTTCCACCCAGCATGTGATATGTACTCAAGTCAGAGTGCTGAATTGATGAGTCAATTTTTTCTCTGGTAACACATTGTCATAAACACGAGGTTGTGATCAAGTGGAATGAGGATGTGGTACATGACTGAAAAATACCTTAAAGACAGGGAAACACTGAAGACATGACCAAGTGGATTTTTTGCTTAAATTGTTTCTTTCTATAAAAATCTAAATCTACAATTTATATTTTTGTGCATTTATCTTAAATTTTGCTTTTGCATACCTGCTGAAAAAAATTAATGTTTTGAGGGAAAATAAATTGATGACTATTGAGAAAATCTCAATATGTTGTTTATATGTCTGCATTCTCTTCTTTCCCATGACTCTTCACTAGTCAGTCACCGTTCTTTATGTTCTAAACATCTTTGTCATTGCTTCTAGAGCACCATCATCCTTTCTTGAAAATGTTACTTGCATTATACTTTTTTTAGCTTTTATTTAGTATTTTATTTTTCCCTAGTTACATGCAAAAACAACCTTTAACATCTGTTTTTAAAACTTTGAGTTCCAAATTCTCTCCATTCCTCCCCTCCTCTGCCCCTGCCTTGCCCCACTGAGAAGGCAAGTAGGTCAATATAGGCTATACATATGTAGTAATGGCATTGTAATTTTTAGCCAATCTACTAAGGAGGAAAAAAAAGAACCAATTTGAGTTTCATCTTTCATTTCCCTTTCATAGAGGCACTAATGTCTAGTCAAATTCTGAAAAGAAGATGAAGAGAAACAAAGAGCTTGGAAAACCAGCTGCTAAGTAATCACCTATTGGGCAGCAATAAGTTCGTTTGTACAGTACTTTATACTACTCAAAAGACTCATTTGAACCTCCTCACCACCATAAGAGATAGATAAGGCAAATATTATTATGTCTACAGATAGGGAAACTGAAATACAGAGAGGGAGGCCAGTGACAAAGCCAGGACTAGACCTAAAGTTTTCTGGCTCCTACCCTAGTATTCTTTCTACTCCATAGAGTAGAATTACCATAAGCTGAATTACCATAAGTTGATTATTGTTCATTGCTTATCATCATAAAAATCGAAGCCAATAAAAAAAATTAAGAAATGAACTGAGGAAATACTATTAATCATTACTTACCAGGTAAAGTGATTTATACTTTCATGACAGTGGTTAATCATGTGCTACTAGAAGATGGGAAATTCCTCCCATGTTCCTAGAAGCCTGAATAGAAAGCATAAAAAAGTTTAAAATAAATGTTAAGGGAAATATGATACTGGGCCACCCAGCTTAGACACTGAAAGCACACTATATAGATAACTAATTCACTGGAACCTCACTTTAAAAACATGAGTATAAACAATTTCTAAAAGCAACAAAGGAATTAGTAAAAAAAGAAAAAAAGAAACAAAAAAAGAAACAAAAAAAGAATGTACTATATAAGTGCTTTTCTTTGCACAGTTTTAAAGTACTATTTAAGTACTATTTCTTTGCACAGAAGCTCAGATTTGAAAGAGACCTTGGAAGCCATCTGAACCTGACCAAGAATTCCCCTTACAACATAGCTGACAGGTAACCATCCAGCTTTCACATGAAGACTTCTAGAGAGGGATAACAAACTACCTCCCAAAACAGCCCATTCCACTTTGAGATATCTTTAATGATTAAAAATCTTTTCATCTTCATGGTGGTTCATTCACCTTTTTTCATTTTTTGTACTGATAACATGGTTTTCTTCTTTCTTTTCCTTTTTTAAAAAGCAAATTAGTCAATAGCTTTTTTCCCACAAAACCAGCTCCTAGTTTAATTTATTAGTTCAATGCTTTTTACTTTCAATTTTGTTAATCTCTCCTTTGATTTTTAGGATTTCTGTTTTTGTGTTTCATTAAGATTTTAAATTTTGTCTTTTTCTAGTGTTTTTAGTTGCATACACAATTCATTGATCTATTCTTTTGGGGGGGGGTGAGGCAATTGGGGTTAAGTAACGTGCCCAAGTCATACAGCTAGTAAGTGTTATGTGTCTGAGGCTGGACTTGAACTCAGGTCCTCCTGATTCCAGGGCCAGTGCTTTATCCACTGCACCACCTAGCTGTCACTATTGATCTACTCTTTCTCTCTTTTATTGATGTAAGCATTTAGAGATATAAAATTTCCCCTAAGTACTGTTTTGGCTGCATCTCACAAATTTTGGTATGTTGTCTCATTGTTGTAATTATCATTAATGGAATTATTAACTATTTCTATGATTTATTCTTTGACCCATTCATTCTTTAGGATCAGATTATTTAGCTTCCAATTAATTTTTAATATATGCTTCTGAGCCCTTTGTTGAATGCAATTTTTATTGTATTTTGGTCTAAAAAGGTTGCATTTCTTATTTCTGCATTTGGTTGTAAGATTTTTATACCCTAATATAGAATCAATTTGGGGAGGGGGGAACGAGGCAATCAGGATTAAATGACCTTTTAGCAAAATGTCTGCTCCTGCTTTTGATTTGTCTGAGATCAGGATTGTTGCCCCTGACTTTTTTACTTCAGCTGAACCATAATAGATTCTGCTTCATCCCCTTATCTTTACTCTGTATGTGTCTGTTTCAAGCATTTCTTGTAAAAAACATATTTTAGGATTCTGGTTTTTAATCCATTTTGCTATCTGCTTCTGTTTTATGGATAAGTTCATCCTATTCACTTTCACAGTTATGATTACTTACTGTGTAGCTCCCTCCATCCTATCTTTCCTCTGTTTATACTTCTTTCTCTCTCTCCACACACACACACACACACACACACACACACACACACACATATATTCTTCCCTGTTTGAACCGTTTTGGAGAAGTCTGAGGCTCGAGTGTTGACTACTCCCCCTTCACCATTTTTCCCTCCACTGTAAAAACTCTTCCTTATGCGAGATAATTTTCCCCATTCTACTTCTTCCTTCCACCTTCTCCCAGTCCCTCCTTCTTTCTCACCTCTCCATTTTTTGGAGATCGTCCCAACATGCATGACTCACACCTGTGCCCTCTGTATAGACTCCTTCTAACTGCCCTAATGATGACAAAGTAATTTAATGTTACATATATCATCTCAGTTTTGCTGAGTAGGTTATTCGTGGTTGTAATTCTAGCTCCTTTGCCTTCCAGAATATCATATTCCAAGCCTTCTGTTCCCTTTTTTATTCATATTAGATACTAAATTTTGTATAATCCTGATTATGGCTCTATGGTATTTGAAAGGGTATTTTTGTTTTTGTTTTTGTTTTATGGCTGTATTCAGTATTTTCTCCTTGACCAGGTACCTCTGGAATTTGTCTGTAATGTTTTGGGGAGTTTTCATTTTAAGATTTCTTTCAGGGGATAATCTGCATAGTCTTTCAATTTTTATTTTGTACTCTGGTTCTAAGATATTGGGGCAGTCTTTTATAATTTCTTGAAATATGATACCTAGGCTCTTATTTTCATCATTATATTCCATAGTCCAATAATGCTTAAATGATCTCTTCTTAAATTATTTTCTAGGTTAGTTGTTTTTCCAAAGAGATATTCCACATTTTTCTTCTTTTGTTTTTCATTCCTTTGACTTGGTTTTATTTTTTCTTGATATCTCATGGAGTCATTAGCTTCCATTTGCATAACTCTGATTTTCATTTATTTATTTATTTATTTTTGGTGAGGCAATCAGGGTTAAGTGACAGGGTCACAAGCTAGTAAGTTTGGAAACCTCAGAGAACTATGTGTTGATTATCATTATCCCCCCTGCCTAACCATCTCCAATTCTTTCAACCAGTCTTTATTTGGCACAGTCTCCATTTTCTTTACCATCTGAGGCATCTTTATATCTCTTGCCATGTCATTCACTTGTTCTGTTAACAAGGGTGGGGAACCTGAGGTCTTCTAGGTCTGTGGGTGTGGCCTTTTGACTGAGTCTGAGTTTTATGGAACCAATCTTTTCAAGGAGATTTGTTCTATGGAGTTTGGATTCAGTCAAAGGGCTGCACTTGAGGATCTAGAGTGCCACATGTGGCCTTAAGGCTACAGGTTCTCCACCCTTATAAAATTCACTGGTATCCTTTGAGGTGAAATATAACGTCATTTTTTTTTCTTCTTTAAAGTCCTTCACAATCTGGATCCAACCTACTTTTCTAGACCAGACCTGCAACTACTTGGCAGTAGGTAAGGGACAAAATTGAAATAGGCTAAACTTCTTCAGGCCATAGGTAGGTTTTTAGCAGCTCACTTTCCAAATAAAGATATAATTAATGATTAAACTACTTCTCAAAAACACTTTTTTTTTAAAAAAAGGGACATAATCCAGAAACTGCAAACTTCTTTACAAAGTCACCTTCAGTAAAAGACTTCCCAGTAGCAGCAATTTCTTTAGAAATCTGAAAACTAACCTTAGTACCTGCCTCATTTTCTGAATTTACTTTCTTTTTTTTTAATTTACTTTCTTGAAAAACCATTGTTACCCACTGAGATTTTTCAACAATTTTGACACTTTCACTTGTTTTTCATTGGTGTCCAATTTGCTTAAGTCAGGATGTTTTGATTCAAAATGGTGACAAAGATTGCATTCCTTCAGAATGGCTATTACTTCTTGGCAAGAGAGGCACAATATTTGTCTCTCGTGTAAGTAAACATGCATTAATTTGTCCACTCCAGATTAAATACTATGTTCTGATTCGATCTTCCATTTCTTTTTGTCACCCATTTTATTTTGTTTATTTCTTTTTGGTGAGACAACTGGGGTTAAGTGACTTGCCCAGAGTCACACAGCTAGGACGTATGATGCGTCTGAGGCTGGATTTGAACTCAGGTCCTCCTGACTCCAGCCAGGGCTGGTGCTCTATCTAGCCTAGCTGCCCCTATCACCCATTTTATAAACTCACCCTAAAAACTTTAATGCCAGAACCAAAAAAATCTCCATAACAAATGCTCATACACAAAGAAATACTGAACTGAGTGTCTGACCTTGGAGAGAGCACCACACACTTATGTAACTTGGAAGGCGGCCACACAATGAGGGCGGGGAAGAAACCCTCACATTGCTGCTGCTCATCGCGTAGCGGGCGTCACTGCATTGGTGCATGGCTGTACTCACTTTGTCCCTGTTCAATGCCAGTAACGACCAAAAACACAGCAAGAAGATATGACTCTTGCTCCTCTCAGACTAGAGATAGACTGACGATGGTTGATTGCGGCAGGTCACATAACAAGCAGGAGACAGTTCGCAGTGGCAGCCCACCTGCTAAGTTACATGATGGGCACAGTAGGGACTACTGGAAGGTGGGTTAAGTGGGGCATGGACAAAGCACTTGTAACATCTTTACTTTCTTTCCCATTCTCTATATTTTTCGCGGGCTGCCTGAAATCCCTTGGTGGGTCACAAGTGCCTCACAGGCCTTCTACATTTATTTGACATTACTCCTGCTCATGTACTCTGTGTTAAAGCCAAACTGGCCTTCTAGCTGCTCCCCAAACATGACATTGTGACTTTCATCTCTGAGCATTTGAACAAGCTTTCCCTAATGGCTGGAATGCTCTCACTCCTTCTGCTTCCTGGGATCACTATCTCTCTTCAAGGTTCAATTCACTTCCTACAAAAAGGGTTCCTTGATGCCCTCAGTCATTAATGTTCTCCATAAAATAAAATTACTTGGTACTTATTTTCTGTCTATTTCATATTTTATATTTACTCATCTGGGCACATGTTATTTCAATTCAATAAAATGTATGTTCCTTGAGGACATAGACCATTTAGTTTTTGTCTTTATATGCCCTGTGCCCAGTTCAGTGTCCGATGCTTAATAAACACTGATTAAATGGAATTGAATTGCCTTTTATGCTAAGGTACTGAGATAAGGAAAAGATTATACTAAAATTGTAGTATTCTATAAAAGCTTAATAAAGTGTTACTTGAGTTGGCCTTTGCAGAAAAGTTATTTATTTATTTATTTGTATATATGTTGATAAATTCAATTCTTTAAGCACTCTACTTTCCAAAAGAATTTATCTTATAAATTTTAATAGAACATTTTAAAAAGCACAGTTTTAAAATCACAAATACACTGAATTATAGAATTGGGAGGGAAATTGAAGTTTATCTAATCCAAACCCTACCTGATGCATGAATCCTATCTACAGTGTCCCCAACAAGTATCCATCCATCTTGTGTTTGAAGATCTCCAGTGACAGAGACCCTCCCAAAACAGTCAGTAACATTCTTATGTATCTCTGATTCTCAGGAAGGTTATTCTCTTATGTTAAATCAAAATCTGTCTCCTCCTAAATCTATCACTACTGTTTCTTCTCTCTGGGATAAAGAAAAACAAATCTAATCCCCTTTCCATAGAAGAGTCTTCCAAATATTTATTGACAGTGATTATATTCTCCCAGAATCTTCTCTTTTCCAGGCTAAGAATTCCCCTCTTCCTTCAATCAACACCCTTCTAGTAGGATTATATGACTCCTTTCTATGCAAGCCACCCTAGACTGGTCACAATCAGTTTCTCAAAGCCTCTTCTAAAATGTGGTGCCCAGAACCTGACATCATATTTCAGATACAACATGAAGGACATTATATGCAGGTATGTATTTTCTTGACATACTATGGTGCCTTGCCACCCATTCAATCTAATTAGATATTTCTGATTAGCCTCTGGCAAAGAGGGATATTAGACTATAATTATATCTATCTGCTCCTTAAATATTTCAAGTCTAGGGAAAATTACTTTTTTCCCAACATAAAACATTTTACTCCTCACCTTATGCTAGTTACACAAAGGCCATAACAAATATTGAGTAGCAAATAAAGCAATTTGTCGAAGCAATTGGACATAACCAATAAAGGAATTTATTTTTCTGAAAACTATGCATAATTTTGCAAAAATTTTGTTTTTTTTTTTCTTTTTTCAATGGGTGAGGACAGGAGGGAGAGAAAAGAGATTTCTATTAATAAAATAATATTTAATTTTAAAAAGGCAATTGCAAATGGAAATCAGAGAAGTTGAACACATGAAAATATGTCAGAAAATAAATCAAATGAATGAGTACTCTCACCGAGAGAGATATCTCACCTCATTCAAGGTGCCCTATCTCACCCAAGGACAAATTCCTTGAAGTCTCTAATTCTCAAGCTGGAAATAACAATATGCTTGAGGTTTGACTCCTCTACTTATTGGATTCTTCCCCCAATTTTTCTCTCCCTCACAGGCCATCCCATAAAAAATAATCTAGAATATGTGTGTATTCTTCTGAAGCCAGAAGCAAGAACTTTCTTCCCCTAACTTCTGACCAACTCTACCACTTACACAGGAGTAATGTCAAATAATCATTCTTTCTACCAGTTAGGAAGAGTCCCATGAAATTCTCAGGCTAGAACCCCAGGTTACACTTATAGAATCCTATATAAATATTAGCCATCACTTTTATTCACTGGTATATACTAGTCTTAACCCCCCAACTAGATTATAAACTCCTTGGTTGTAAAACTGTTATATTATACTAACTTATTCCCCATAGCTTCTAACATAGTTCTGAATATATTATAAGTACATATAAATAATAATATAAGTAAAAACTTGCTAAATGATTAATCACTCAACACACGAATAATGTCCAACAATTAGGAATACTTGAATTCTCTTTTATGAACGATCTGATGGGTGAATTAACATTCTATTAGTCTTTGCATTAATAATATGTTCCCCCCCCCCGGAGGTTGAGAAGCCCAGAAAGACAAAGAATTCAGCTATATAATAGTCAAGAAATAAGCACCACCTTATCTTGAGCAGCATTTGAAAGCTTTTTGAGATTTTTCTTGATCTACCATATAGTTGGGACTTGCCTGGAAGTGATGGAGCATACATAAGTTACATTTACCATAAAATGTCTTCAGAAAGTCCAGGATTTCCATGAAACACAGTTACAAAATACTTTTTTTGTTGAAGATAGAATTTCCATTTTTAAGAGTTAATCTTTACATGTCTAATAACATAAGAAAATCTCAGAATTTTGTGAGAACATAAAAGGAGATTCATGCGAAATGCTTCTTTATCCGCAGAGCAAAGTAGTCATTCAAGCTACATAGAGACCTTTAATTTGGGGTTAAAGACTTGAAGTAGTAATGTCTCTAATGTGTGCTAACAAATTGACCACATTTCTCAGTACAGTACTTATGCAGGAAAAAGAAAGGGGATTAGGAGGAGAGAAATGGTGCATATATTTGAATTCTGTCTATGAAAGGTTAAATTAGAGACTTAGTTATACATAGACAAATGCTTGTGGTATATCTAAGCTTAGTAACCATAAATAGCTAAAAATAACTACTAATTGAAAAACTAGCTGCTAGGGTTTTTTTATTGCAGTGTTTTCTCTATATGTCATGAATCTTTTAAACAGTCACATGGAACAATTTAAAATATTTCCAACATTTGATGTATGGTCTGTAATCCTTTAATACTAGTTATCATTTGTTATAAATTTAGAAATTATTAATTTTGACAAGCCTTCTTTTTATTTTATACTTTACATATGAAATTCAAAAACTTATAAACTACAATGTCATCACTAAAAAAAAGCCTTTTTGAATGAAAGTTCAAACAGTAAAATACATATCTTTTTTTCTTGGAAAATAAACATACTAACAAAAAATTAAGCTGTCAATAATGAAAATACACACTATTTACACACTTGCCCAATTTTTTTTGGGGGGTAATAAGTTACAATCTACTTATGCCCATAGAAAATTCTCTGTTGCTGTTTAAAAAACCCACAGCTGTAATTCATTAGTGATTAGGCTATTCCATGACTTAGCACCATATAGCATCATAAGAATACCCTTGGTGCTTTTCAAAAAGATGGGCCTTTGTGTCCGGGAGAAGCTTGGGGGTCATAAAATGTAGTGTGAAATTTGCCAGAGTCAATTCAGCCAAAAGTATGACTATGAATTGCCACATTTTTTAGCCAGTTGTACATTTTCCAGGTTCCACTTTTTGCTTTGCATTATTTTGGATGTCTTTTAACATTTCTTTAAATTTCTAGTATTTGTCATTCTTTTTTTTTTTTTTTTGGCCAGGCAATGGGGTTAAGTGACTTGCCCAGAGTCACACAGCTAGTAAGTGTTAGTGTCTGAGGCCAGGTCCTCCTGAATACAGGGCTGGTGCTCTACCCACTGTTCCACTTAGTTGCCCCAATATTTGTCATTCTTAATCTCTGTCTCCCATACTTGTATTTCTCCTCACCACTACCTCCTGGCATCCCTGCCTTTCTTTAAATATCAACTAAAATCCCATCTTCTTCCAGAAGTACTTTCTAGTCCCCCTTAATGCTGGTATCTTTCCTCTGAGATTAACTCCATTTATCCTATATATATATCTTGTTCATACATAGTTGTTTGTGTGTTGTCTTCCCATTTAGATTGTGAACTTCTTGAGAACAAGGAATGAGTGCTTAATAAATGATTGTTAACCTGATTGTTCCATTACTAGGTACCATAGTTTGTTCAGCCATTTCCCTGTGACTGGGCACTTACAAAGTCCTATATTCTGACAGTTGTGAGAGATCTCACAGGTTACTTATTACAACTCACATCCAAACAAAAATTCCCTGTACTACATATTTGACAAGTGATCATCTAACCTCTGAATTTTTAACGATGAAGGAAAAGGTTAGAGTATTACCTCCAGAAGAAGCCCATTACACTTTTGGATAGCCCTAATTTACAGGAAGTTTCTCCTTACATGTGATTTTGCTTCTTTTCAACTTCTATCCATTGCTTCTAATTCTTCCCTTTTGGGCCATAAGAACAATTCTATTTCCTTTTTCATATGATGGCCATTCAGATATTTGAACAGAGGTATGACATCTCCCTTGAGTTTTCTCTTCCCCAGGCTTCACATTCAAATTCCTCCATGATAGCTTCATATGGCATGATTTAGAAGCCTTACAATAAACTGCTTGTTCTCCTTCAAATTCTTTCCAACTTATTTATGTTTTCCCTAAAATTTGGCACTCAGTCCTGAACATAATAACGCAGACGTGGTCTAACCAGAACAATGTATAGGACTATCATTACTCTGTTTCTGGACACTTGTCTTTTTTAATGTAGTCTAAAATCACATGAGCTTTTCTGGTGGCCATGATGCATCAAACAATGCCTTATACTGAATTACTGTCCATTATGACTTTCATCTAAAATAGATGATGGCTAGATACACCTTCTCCATTTTGCACTTGAGAGATAGATTTTTTAAAACCCTCAAATTTCTGCTACATTTGCCCATGTCGATTTGACCTAATGACCTAGTGCATCAAGACCCAAGATCCAATGATTTAGACTGCCAAGATCTTTTTGGATGTTGATTCTATAATCCAATTTGTCAGTTCTTCCTCCTAGCCTTGTGTGTGCTTTCCCAGTCACAACAGAGTGAAACAAGGCTGTGTGCTTGCTCCCATGCTTTTTAGCATGAGGTTTTCAGCCATGTTATCAAATGCCTTCAGTGAGGATGAACACAGCATCAAGGTCAGCTACTGCATTAATGGTAAATTCTTCAGCTACAAGCCAAGAGCAAAGTGGAGGGAGTGTTGGTGCATGCTTTTCTGTTTGCAGAGGATTGTGCACTCAGTGCAGCCTCTGAAGCTGAGATGCAACAAAGTATGGGTCGATTCTCTGCTGCCTAACAATTAACACCAAGAAAACACACGATCTCCATCAGCCAGCACCACACCATCCATACATGGAACCATGAATTACAGCAAATGGAGAAATTTTGAACACTGTGGATAAGTTCACTTGCCTTGGTAGTGTGCTTTCCAGGGATGTACACACATTGATAATGAGGTTGATACATGCATTGCTAGAGCCAGCTTAGTATTTGGGAGACTGAAAGAAAGTGCGGGGGAAAAGTATTAGACTGATTACCAAACTAAAACAGTTGTGTTGACCTTATTGTTGTATGCCTGTGAAATCCAGACGGTACGCCAGGCCCATGCCAGGAACAGAATTGCTTCCATTTGAATGTCTTAGGAAGATTCTAAAGATCACCTGGAAGGATAAGATGCCAGACACTGAGCTCCTTTCTCAAACTAAACTGCCAAGCATTCAAACTCTACTGCAGAGTACAACTCCTATGGTTTGGCCATGTTGTTCAAATGCAAAATGTATGCTTGCCAAAAAGACTATTTTACGGAGAACTTACATAGGGCAAGTGTTCACATGGTGGTTAGAGGAAGCTATACAAGGACATTCTCGAGGTCTCTCTTAAGAACTTTGGAATTGATTGTGGGACATGGGAGACAGTGGCACAGGACTGCTCAGCATGGCATGCACATGTCAGAGAAGGTGCTGTGCTCTAAGAGCAAAGCAGAATTAAAGTAGCTCAAAAGAAATACAAGATGTGCAAATATAGAGAATCCACCCCAGATGTTCATATGGGCTATTTGTGCCCAACCTGTGATAGAACATTCTGAGCTTGCATTGGTCTGATCAGCCACAGTCAGACACACTAACACTTGACTCTAGCATAATGATATCATTTTGGTCCTCTTTGAGAATGAAGGACAATAA